GAAAATCCTTTATAATAAAATACACTGTTTACTACAAATTTTTATTACAAATTTTTGTTCTTATTAATAAAGTTTTTTCGCGTTTTACACGTTGAGGAAGTAGATAAATGGGGCTTTTACTGCACATATGATGCAAAACTGCCAAAAGCCATAGTATTTAAAATAGGATTGTGCCTGTGAAACTCGTCACATATCTATCAAGCTTATGAGTTATGTAGTTATATCAGTATATTCCGATGGCCAACGCATTAAGAAACACTTAGAGAACAGCCGATATATTTCGTTACCCCTGCCAAAAAATAGCCAAGTACTCATCTTTCAATGTAGCCGGGATCGACTGAACATTATAAAAGCTTGTCATGGAGAGAAGTGAATTTTCGGTTTATCCTTCGTCCCAGTGACCAGTGAGCAGTGTGCTGTACGGCCTACGCCGGTTTAAACCGTTATACATAATTACTGCTTTCATTCTTTCAATCCGTTTTGAATATTCGGAATCATTCACTATTATATTATAAAACTGTATAAGATAGCTGTAGAACTATAAATGCTGTAGAATAAAATAAATAAAGAAAACTACGTTTTATCGCGGTATTTGCCGATAAATCGGTAACCGCTACAGAAAAACAGAACAAATTACAGTAAATCACAACAAACCGCGGAAGTGGGACAATTTTTGTATTTTTACTGTAAGACATGCAGAACATGTACGAAATCCATACAGAAGTGTGTGTGTATTCTATACTTTTGAAACAACTAAATCAGACTTCGGAAAATTTGACAGTATTAAAGCTACTTTTGAGAATTTAGATTTTAGGTCTTTGTTTTACATGTACCCAGTAAATATTTTTGAGTTTTGAACTCTGATTCTCACAAGCTTACAATTTGTTTACAATTTACTCTGGCTCTGCCGTGCTGCACGGCAGAGTTGATCGGAATTGTAACAAATACGCGTACACTTAATTGGCTTCCTGAATTTAGTCAATCAGATGTGTAAAAATTACTCGTTTCAATTTTATGTTTATGCTCGAAACTGCTCATGTTTACAATAGCAATTCTAACAATCTTGCCCTCCTTTTCGCCTTTGAGGCGTTGGTGTTGATTTATACACAAAATTCAAAACTCAAAAATATTTACTGGTCTGGGTACATGTGAAACGAAGACCTAAAATCTAAATTCCCAAAAGCAGCTTTAATACGGTCAAATTTTCCGAAGTCTGATTTAGTTGTTTCAAAAGTATAGAATACACACACACTTCTGTATGGATTTCGTACATGTTCTACTTGTCTTACAGTAAAAATACAAAAAATGTCCCACTTCCGCTGTTTGTTGTGATTTTAATACTGTAATTTGTTCTGTTTTTCTGTAGTGATTACCGATTTATCGGCAAATACCGCGATTTGAAAACTTACTTTTCTTTATTTATTTCATTCTACAGCATTTATAGTTCTACAGCTATCTTATACAGTTCTATAATATTGTGAATGATTCCGAATATTCAAAACGAATTGAAAGAATGAAAGCAGTAATGATGTACTGTATAACGGTTTAAACTTAGCCGGCCGTACAGCTCACTGCCACCGGTCACTGAGCCGAAGGATAAACCGAAAATTCACTTTTCTCATCACAAGATTTAATGTTCAGTCGATCCGCTACATTGAAAGATGAGTATACTTGGCTATTTTTTGGCAGGGGTAACGAAATATATCGGCTGTTCTCTACAGTAAGTGTTTCTTTATGTGTTGCCCATCGGAATATAATATAACTACATAAGCTTGATAGATGTAAGATAACGAGTTTCACAATCCCATTTTAAATACTATGGCTTTTGGCAGCCTGGTTTTGCATCATATGTGTTTTTCAGTAAAAGCCCCATTTTCCTACTTCCCCAACGTGTAATACGCGAAAAAAACTTTGTTAATAATAACAAAAAATTGTAATAGTAAACAGTGTATTTTATTATAAAGGATTTTCGTTTTTCTACTGCTCCGTACTTCGTGTACTCCGTGTGCTCCGTACTCCGTGTGCTCCGTGTGCTCCGTGCTCCGTGTGCTCCGTGCTCCGTGTTTTACTAATAGCCTTTTTGATTTGGATTAATACAGCACGTAAAATGAGAGGGAATTGTGTACACGCTTTTAATGGTCAAAATATCACCTATATTACGTCAAACACATCCCTCGTCAAACTCAGCCCTCCCAAACATAGCCGTACGAGACCATAGATATCATAATATATACACTAGATAGCGCATCTGTTTTAATAAAATTGAAGCCAAGAATATTCCAGCGGTTACCCTCATTTGAATAGATGGCGGCCATGTTGGTAGTTCCCACTCGCTAATAAACGCTTAAAAAACAACAATAACTTTCATCATTTGAATAGTTTAAAAATGTATTTGGAATAGGTTTAACTTAATGTCTAAGTTCCCTATTTAAGAAATAGAAAATATACGAATCTTCTCATTTCATGGGAATATCCTGAGTCTGGCCTTACTTAATATTCCTGGGTGTCTGCAAGACCTGAACAGCTGGTGCATGCATACGGCTTTTGCATGCACGCTTAATATACAAAAGAGTTACTTATGAATGATGTAGGTTTTTCCTTAACGACATGTAGAAATCGCGACCTGAAGTTATTGAAAAGGGTGAGTATAAACACTATATATACAACAGTAGCAAGAGATTTTGCAAATTTTCGTGTCTTGGAAAATGCCTAACTATTTTTACGTATTTAATGCATTTTGTGGATAGGTATATATAGGGGACTCTCATCATCGCAGGTAGTTAGGTGAAGATACTCTTGTACGTTTAGTACAAGAAACTATTAATTTATCGGGACGGTGAAGTGATTTTAGCCAGTTACAGACGAGCTAGTTTTGTATTACAAGTTTTGTTTGTCAATTGCACGTATGTATATATTTTCTGACCGCCACTGATAGCTTTTATTAGTTATAATTGCAAGTTTAGACCGCTGACCAATTCATTCAACAAATTTTCTATGTCAAGATTTATTTTCTGACCGCCACTGGTAGCTTTTATTAGCTACAATAGCCGTTCCGCACGTTGTAACCAATAATCTATTGGCGTTGTAACACCATTGTATGCAATAAAGTATTGGGTTGTAATTGGTCTACAATTACAATAACACTAATCCAAACGTTAATCCTAACCCCTAACCTCTACCCCCTAACCCTAAAGTTGATGACCTTTTTTAAGTAAAAATTGGCAAAGTTGTCTATACAGGCGAGCAAGTAAAACTTGCCATATGAAAACCTATCATAGGAAACTTGCTCCTCTCGGCTTTGATAAGGTTGGCTAGCCGTTACCATTAAATAAAGTCTGTTACAATATTGGTTATTTTTGTTTCAATATTAAAGAATATCTTCATTTGTTTCAGAACGTCGACAATATAACGATCATATTAAAGTTTTGAAAAATCAGCTCACCGAAGCAGAGACCAAGCTGATGGGATACTTCAAGAAATTCAGTCAAATACAGGTATAGGGTGGTATAATTAATTTGTAGATGTCTATATCGACGTTGGTGGCCAAATGTTTGATGTACATACTGTACGCTTCAGCCGGTGAGCTCCATATATGTGGCGTGACAACTTGAGTCCAAAAAGCAGGGATCATTGGTCCCAGAAAATTTTTTTAGTTCCCAGAAAATATATCCCCGAAGAAGGAAAAAAAAATGTAATAATTTAGATAAAAGGAGAAATTCAGGGGGGGGGGAGGATTCTAACCAATAGAAAGAATGTTCCCTTTACTCTATGTATATATGACCTCAGAAATGGGCATCCATCTGTATAGATAAATAAATGTACATATTATAGAATGATGTAACAAATGTTGTATGGCAAATGAATTTTAGCCAATCTGGGGCAGCTGATTTTCAAAATTATCAGGGGGAGAATGGACCCCCCTGATATTTCTCCCTAGTAGTGCCCTTTTTTTTGCATCTGTATTTACCTTAGGATCACACCCCTTGAATTTTTTCTGTTAAAATATAGCATGACGTCCAGGGGCCGGTTGTATAAAAACGTAGTTAGCGCTAACTGCAGTTAAAAAGTAGTTAAAAAATAGTTAACTTTAATCACGTAGTTAAGCCGGTTGTATAAAAGTGTAGTTAGCCTTAACTGCAGTTAAAAAGTAGTTAAAGTTAACTATGCTTTAGGGTATAGTTAACTGTCCAAAACGTAGTTAAAAATGGCGTTTGTATAGGAGTGAACAACATTTTTCAGTAAAACAACAATGAAAAGCAACGGTTACCTGAGATTTTCAATCGCTATCTTCCCTGTGAATGTTTCCTGACAACATAAACTCTTCAAACGCTATCGCTTTGGTGTTTTTACGAAAACAGAACATATTTTAGCACAGGACGATTTCTCGAAGACGAAGTATGGTCCATTACACCAAGAAACACTGATATATAATTGCCAAACAGCTATACCTTGGTTTAACGTAGACATCTCAAGGAAAAACTGCATTCTTTTATGATTTTTGTGGCGGTTTTTCCTTGTTTTCTTGTATATTTTTCACTGTTTTCTAGTGTTTTGAATAAAATTCCCGCCTATTTGCAAAATACGAGTCCACAATCATGTTGAAAATGTGTGTCAGCGGTCGTTACTCGCTGCTTACTTTATGTAATTTTCCGTTTAAACGCCCCACGCAAGCCCCACGCACAGTTAACTGCGTGATTAGTTAACTATCCGACTAACTACGTTTTGTGCAACGCAGTTAAGTCATGTAGTTAACTAATTACAGTTAAGGATTTAACTACAGTAATTAACGCTAACTACAGTTAGCGCTAATTACGTTTTTATACAACCGGCCCCAGTTTGGCAAATTGTTTGTAGGCCGTTGCGGTATATCGATATACCGATAATTATCGGTCTTATATAAATACCGATTATTCGATATTGAAATTTTCGATATATCGGAATATCGATATTTCTCGGTATTATTCGATATCACGTTTAAACAAATTTCCGGGCCAAAAGTATAACACATTCATTCTGAGTGCGGCTAATCAATGCAAACATACGCATTTTCAATTCCCAAAGCGGACATTTTTCTTGTTATATCGCGGCTTTTTGGCGTCATTTGAAAACAGAAAATTTGCATAAAAAAGTAAGCAAAATACAATCGCGAAAAAATATCGGTATTTCTTTTCCGGTATCGGTTTCCATTTTCTTTCAAATA